AAAGCAAGACAAGAAATGGTGGAAATTAACCAAGGAGAGAAGCAGCCGAGAATTAAGGAGGAATTTCCTGACAGTGAGAATAATTAATCACTGGAACCACTTGTCTCTGGAAGTCGTGGGTTTATTTATTTTATTTATTTATTTTTATTTATTTGATTTGCCAATTGTTTACAAGATAATAAGTATAAGTGTATACATAGTTGTGAATACATGAAATGGGTACATATAAGAAAAATAAAAGAATAAGAGAAACAATAGGACAGGGACGGTAGGCACGATGGTGCGCTTATGCACGCCCCCTACAGACCTCTTAGGAAAGGGGTGAGGTCAATAGTAGACAGTCTAAGGTTAAAGTTTTTGGGGTTTGGGGAAGAGACTACAGAGTCGGGTAGAGTATTCCAGACATTGACCACTCTATTGCTGAAGTCGTATTTCCTGCAATCAAGTTTGGTGCGGTTTACTTTGAGTTTGTATCTATTGTGTGCTCTTGTGTTGTTATGGTTGAAGCTGAAGTATTAATTGACAGGTAGGACATTGATACCATGCTTAAGTCAGACCGAAGACGGCGTAATTCAAGGTTTTCTAGTTTTAGAATTTCAAGTCTGGTGGCATAAGGTATTCTACAACGAGTAGAAGAGTGGAGAACTCTTCTTGTGAAATATTTCTGGACTTTCTCAATTGTGCTGTCTTCTGTCTTCTCCAGCAAACATATACTGTAGACTTTTTTTATCGCTGCCTCCAAATGTAGAATTTTTAGGACAATTTTGACTCTGTTAGCTTTTTAGTATGTCTGCATTTTCTGCCTCAGAGGCATTTGGCGGGCCTCTGTTGGAAACAAAATGCAAAGGCTTGATCAAGCAAGACTATTCTTGGCGATCCCAAAACACTTAGTGATGCCTTGGTAACACCAACCTGCCCTTGGCTTCCAATTAATAATGAACCTTCAGTCCCCAGATTCACAAAGGTGGAGCTCTCTGCAATAATTACAAGCATATTTATCTGGGATGAATTCTAAGCGGCCAAGTTGCATTGTGTGTGACAGGAAAGGCGATGAGCTTTTTCTCAAATTCCATTTTATGGAGAGTATAGAACAGCCACTTATTCTTTTGAGATCCTGTCTTCTGAGGTAATGTGTTAGATCTTGCCCAATTAATAATGTTTTTTTCTTTCTTTCACATTATTCCAGGGAGCTAAGAAAGCGCAAGCATTTCATAGGATTAGAAAAGGGGGGTCTGTTTATTTAGTGTATGACAAAAAGCACAACACAATTACGTTCTCAATGAGCAAACACAGAACTGTTTATCTACAAATTCAAAGGTAGTTTATTTATATCAGGGGTGTCAAACTCAAGGCCCACGGGCAGAATGCGGCCCACGGGGTGCTTACTGCCCTGGAAACAGTGAAGAACCTGTCCATAGTACCTCAGCTGCAAAGCAGGGAATATTGTGACACTCTGGAAGAACTCTTGCGTTCAGGCCTGAAGCAGATTGAAGTTGTTATCCAGCAAGTTTCTGGCTATCCTAATAGATGGGGTGTCTGGATGTAAATTAACAAATGATTTAACCATCTTTTTAAAATCAGAATTCAAGAGGCTATTATTCATTTTAATTAATTGCCCATGATAGGGAAACTGTAGTCTGTTTCGGAATTGGTCCCAAAAAATCTGATGGGGCATCTCTTACTTCTGCTCTCGTACACAAAAACTACTTCTTCCAGCCAAGAATAATGTTTCGCCTAAAATAACTTTTTTTTTTTGCTTTTGTAACATTTGTTTTAATAAAGTCAACGCTACAATAAATAAATTTTAATTTTTGCCCTGAAATACCACTGTTCATCATTTATCTTTGAGACAGCTAATTTGAAATTATGATTCCAAATATACCCGCTAGATTTTTGTAAGTACAGTATCAAATTGCCCTCAAACAGATGGAGGGCCTTCTTTTATTTTTTTATTTTGGTATTAGCTAGTCAAATTTTAGTCAGAATGATCTTATTTCACCCTCTAGTGGAATATCACTACATTGCAAAGATTTAGAAGCATCTGAATATTATTGCCTTCGATTCTACACTTCACCCTTATTGTATTTTTTAGAAGGAAAATATGGAAAAATTAACAAATGGTTAATATTTTAAAATCTGGGAGCCTCAATTTTTATGGGTCAGTATCTGAGCTGTGATTTATGATACTGAGAGTTCCTTGGAAAGGAAGAAATGTGGTGCTTCAAATAAATTAGCAAATGGTCATAGAGGTGGGTTTTAAAAGAATAGCAGTTACGTTTTTGTTTTTTGCTTTTTCCCCTGTATCTTTTTCGAAGCTTCTACTTCTGCATATATGCAGATTTATTTATTTATTTTGCTTTTTGGATAAAAGGGTAATGTAGTGCTGTGAATTTCTCTGACTGGAAGAAAAAAAAGGGAAATGGTACAAATACCCAATAGAGGCAAGAAAAGACACACAATTTTTCAAAAAACCTTCTGCTCAAGATCACTAGGTCTTGGCATGTCTCTCACAATTATGTTGCAAATATTAACAGATACTCCTACATCCACAATTGTGTGACACCAGGTAAAACAACTATAATGGCATAAATCCTTCTACTTTGCACGCCACATAAATGCAACTTCACTATAAGGTTGGAAATTCCATATTGAAATCCAAAATGCTTCTACATGTCAGTGGTGATAATAAGGTAAAAGCACTGGGTCCTGCATTCTGCAGAAGAGAAGCTTCTACAATTGTTATAATCAAATTGACACATGCTATGGAGATTTGTTCTGGATCCTGCTGGCTGGGCAAAAGAGCTGGTTGCTGTACCACTTATGACCTTCCTATCTTACAGAATACAGAATAACAAGAGTTGGAAGGGACCTTGGAGGTCTTCTAGTCCAACCCCCTGCTCAAGCAGGGAAACCTTATACCATTTCTGACAAATGGTTGTCCAATCTCTTCTTAAAAACTTTCAGTGTTAGAGAACCCACAACTTCCAGAGACAAGTGGTTCCAGTGATTAATTATTCTCACTGTCAGGAAATTCCTCCTTAATTCTAGGCTGCTTCTCTCCTTGGTTAATTTCCACCATTTCTTGTCTTGCTTTTGATGCTTTGGAAAATAGGCTGACCCCCTCTTTTTTGTGGCAGCCTCTCAAATATTGGAACACTGCTATTACGTCACCTTTTTTGCTTTTCTTCTCCTCTCTGGACTACCCATACCGAATAAGTGTTCACTCTTAAGGCTGTCAGGGAATGTGACTTTGCAGGCATTCTGCTTGGAACTGATGGTGCTTATTCCCAAATAATCTCCAGTCTTGCACAGTTCCTGGTGACTTCCTGGCATATCTCTTGCTTTGTTCAGAGAGGCTCAACACCTTGCTTAGCCTTCTCAGATCAGCCGAGGACAGGCAAGATGTTGGGCAGTCCTTCGCCTAACAGATATTCTGTATTGATATGTATTGATACAGAATATTAATATCCCCAGCCATTACTTCCTACATCAGAAGCGATCCATTTGAAGAGCTTACACAATGGAATCGTGCGGACTTCGACTCCCAGAATTCCCCGGGCTGCAATGCAAAGCACGACAAACAACACTCATTTCCCCCCCCCAGCTGTCTGCCCCGCCCCCCTCAAGCGTCTTCCGCCATTCTTAGTCAGCTCCGCCCGATAAGGCGCATGCGTCAACCCTTGCTCGAGGAACGGGGAGGGGGGGTGGAAGGAAAAAGGGAAACTCAGCGAAAGCTTTAACATCCGGGTCAAGGAGACCCGTCCGCCTGAGGGGGAGGAGCCGCTGCCGCCGCCGCTCAGGGTGCAGCGGGTGGGCGGTAGTCTGGAGACAGATGGAGCGGGACTTGCTTCGCCAGGCACTGGGCTTCCACGGGCCGCCGCTGCTTTCCCTGCTCCACGCCGAACAGCAGGACAATCCCGACTTCGGCGGCCTGCTCCCCCCGAGCGGGGCCTGCTTGGAATCGCTGTCGTCAGCTAGGTGAGCCCAAGTCGGCGGCCCCGCCCTCTCCGTGAAGGAGGGGGCGGGGCTTCGCCGGAGGGGCGTGTCCTTGAGAAGATGGGGCGGAGCATGCTGAAGAGACGAGTCAGCTCTGCTCTTTGCTTCCCTTTGGTTGTGGCGGGGGGGGGGGGGGGGGGGAGCCCTCGCAAAGTGGGGGTGCCTCTGACCATATGCAGAGTGTAAGGCCTTTTCGCAGCTGTGCCTCGCCTTATAGGGACCCGCAGGACTGGCAAGTGACTCTTCTTCCCAGGTAACTCGGGTAGCATCTCCTTATTATCCCAAAGGTAATTTTTGTTTCTTTTCTTTTCAGGAGGCAACTGGGCTTGCTTGTTTTTTCTTTTGAAGACGTTTCGCTACTCATCCAAGAAGCTTCTTCAGCTCTGACTGAATGGTGGAGAACGGAAGGATTTATACTCCTTGCAGATAGCTGGTCATTTGCATTCTTTTTAGAGAGTCATTGAGGCCACTTGGAGGTTTATCTGTATCAGGGTTCAAGGACCCTCTAAAAAATATGAAAAAGGACCAGCGGTCTGCAAGGAATATAAATCCTTCCATTCCCCACCGTCCAGTCAGAGCTGAAGAAGCTTCTTGGATGAGAAGCGAAACATCTTCAAAAGAAAAAAAGAAAAAGAAAGTCCAGTTGCCTCCTGAAAAAAAGCACCTTTGGGACAACCACGACCTGGATACACTGAGAATCTACAAAATTTTTGCTCTGCAATTTAGGATGAACACCCTTTGAATGATGTGGGAATAGGAATGGATTTCCAGAGGAAAAATTGCAGACTACAGGAACCTGGAGCACTTACTCAGGTGACCTTGAGGACACAGATAAACCTCCATGTGCTTCAATGACCCCCTAAAACAAGGGTTTCAATCTTGCCTCGTCATGGCAGAATCATGTGGCATAGCGTGACTTTTGTCCCCCCTTCGCTAAACCAGGAGTGGGTGTCCCACTTGACGCATCCGACCCGAGGCCTGCTGACAGCTCAAAAAAGGATGCAAATGACCAGCTGTCTGCAAGGAATATAAATCCTTCCATCCCCCCCACTATCCTGTCAGAGCTGAAGAAGCTCCTTAGCTGAACCGTCTTCAAAGAAAAGAGGAGAGGGAGTGGCAGAGCCGGGGAGGAGGGAATCAGCCTAGAAACCCTACATAACCCCATAAGCAAACTAAGTCTGCTTGTGGCTACATAGGGATTCTAGACTGATTCCTCTTTTCACGCCGCCCCCACCCCAAGGTTCTGCCACTCCTTTTTCTCCTACAGTTTGGTTAGCCAATTTGTGGATTAAATTAGTTATATTGAGTTGGATTCTAGACTTTCAATTCTTGGCTTCAACTTCCCTTGTGAAAACATGCCCAAAGTGGGATACCACTGCCTTGACTGCCTATTTGCTTAACTTATTTCCTTCCATCTATAATGAACAAAAAACAAGAAATTCCGGTTGCCTCCTGAAAAGAAAAAGAAAGAAACCTTCGGGACAACCGTGAGCTGGATGACTAAGAATCTCTACAGACATCTCCTTTGTTAGTTGCTTTTAAGGTCGCTCCACTGAATCTGCTTCCAAGCAGCCTGTCGGGAACTGGCAGCTGTTTCTATTTTTCCCCCATTGCTTCCTTTCTTAAATGTAGAGATGTCATGATTAAAATCCAGGACCCTGAATGTACATACGTACTAGGGAGTCCTTGACTTTATGACTGCAGGTAAGCCCAGAATTTCTGTCGTTAAGTGAGTTTTGTCCCGCTTTGCGAACTTTGTTGCTACTGTTAAGTGATTCACTGCAGTGGTTAAGTTGTTAACATGGTTGTTGAGCAAATCTGGCTTCCCCCGTTGACTTTGCTTGTCAGAAAGTCGCAAAAGGGGATCACGTGACCCCCCAGGACTCTGCAACCGTCATAAATATGAGCCAGTTGCCAAATGTCTGAATTTTGATCATGTGACTATGGGGATGTTGCAGTGGTCATGAGAGTGAAAAATGGCCATCAGTCACTTTTTTTCCAGTGCCGTTGTAACTTCAAACGATCACTAAATGAATGGTTGCAAGTAAAGGATTATTTGTAATAAATTCCCTATTTTTTTTCCTGGAAACGTACCACTGAAAATGGCATAACCGTCTCTCCTTATTCATTGAGATGATTGGGTTTGTAAAACTGCAAATTAAATTCTTAATTTTCCCTGGAGGTGCCATGGTTAAAAGCCAGGATTCTCTATGTATGTAAAAAGATGCATAAAATTTCCTTTTCCCCCCCTAGATATTTACCACTGAAAACAAAATATAATTGCCTCTCCTTCTTGAAATGGTTGGCTTTGTAAAACTCCACCTTAGATGTTAGTAGAGATTAATTGACAGTCTCTTAGTAAACTGCATTCTACAAGCCTGTTGTCTAAACCATATTAAGAAATTTGATTAAAACTAATTCTAAATATACACGGTAAGTATTGCAAGATATAGATCTAGGTTTTATGGTGCCAAACAAAAGCATATGTTTTGTGACTAGGCATTCTTATCCAGATAGCTGGATATGAGACAGTGTATTTTGAGGGCAAATATGCCTCAAAGTAAAATAAGCTGATTTATAATTATGAAGAAACAATTATTTGGAATCTACCAGAAGCAGCATAACAGTGGTTTTGAATAGGCTGTCCTTTTAATTGTTATGTTTTGGTTATCAAATTGCCTTGTTCAAGAAAGCATGTTTTTATGGATGTTAATCTGTTTTCTTCTGTTTCAGAAAAGAAAGAGGGATTGAAAATATTGAGATACAACAATTCATTTCAAAAAAAGCTGATCTTCTTTTTTCTCAATCTTGGAAAACAAATGTGACAATAGTAAAAGATGAAAATGAAGAGAATGAAAGTAAGAGAATGAAGTCAGATGATGGTTGGACATGTTTATAAATGTGCATCTTACGATCAGTACTTGGAATTAGAAATGTAAAGGCAAAAAAAGATAAGCATCATTTTCATTTGGACACCTGAAAAAGAAAGCCCTCAATGCTCACTTTTGATTTTGATTTTTAATCAAAAAATTAGTGACACTTTTAAGAAGAAAAATTGCTCTGTACAAAGTCCACTCCTGTACATAGATAAGGATATATAAATTTAAAGAAATTTTTTTTTAACCCCATATTCAATTTTGGGTGTAATTAAAATCAAATTATCAGAACAAAGTTGTTAACTGTGACTAATAAATGATTACCAGGTTTGATAAACATATTTTTTATTATCAGATTTTAAAAAAAAATGTTGGGTTTCTTTTTCGGGGAAAACAACCGCCAAAACTTTTGAGTATCACTGATTCAATAAAAAAGTGTATGTTAATTTTTGAATGGTTTGCAGAAAATGACAATTCATAGGAATTGAATCAGTTGAATTGATACATATACCTTAGGAAGTATAGATAGTAGACGAAAGTAGAATTCTCTAAAATTTTGGTTTTGTAATATACAAGCCCTTCGTTTTGGTTATTTTTGTACTTTTAATTCTATTTGATATGCAGATATTCCTTGTTTAGCGACTACAATTGGGAGTGGCAATTTGGTCACTAACAAAGCAGTCACTAAGTGAAATGAATGTGCTTCAGATCTTCACCTTTCTTTTGCTTTACAGACCTGCTAAGTTTGTAAATGCGAGGATTGGTTGTAAAGTAACTTTTTCGTCACTCGTAAATTCAGATGGTTGCTAAATGAGGACTATCTGTACGTCTGTCTACCTTCCCTACTCCCTGCCTGCCTACCTGTCGAGTCTGTCAGGCATTGTAAATCATTGAAATCCCTTTTGGAACTGAACGGCATATAATTTGCATAAATAAATAAACTAGTGGATGATTCCTCCCTCCAATTTCTTCAAATTAGAAAAAAATATTTTTCCAGTATAACTTTTGCCTGTTTATTTGGGTGTTACCCCCGATCATTATTATGTATGCTAACGTTGCTTGTAACTATTCCAGTGCCACTTGTAAGGAATACAATTTAGATTCTGCAATTATGAGTGGAGTATTTTTAGATTCAAAAGTGTTTTGTGCTATGAAAATAGAATCGAGTTCATATACCATGTTCTTATCCAGTAATTAGAATAATTTTTTAAAACAGGAATTTGGCTAGATTAACTCAGAAGTCTTATCTGCTTCCACAGTGGGTTGGTAGATGCCTTTATGAAAATTAGAAGCAGATCTATTTCAGCAGCATGTATTTGTTAAGATTTGTATTCATCGTCCCCAGTAGATTTTCAAGATGATTGGATCACGTTCTCTCTAATATTTTAATGTAATGGCATTTCATAATTTCAAAGCACGCACGTTCAAAAGTGAACCCATTTAATTCGATAGGATTGGATTCCAGTAGGATTGTAAGTGATTTGCGTGCATGACTGTTACCATTTAAACTATCTGGCAATCCCTATAATGTTTCGGTATTTAAAACTTTTTTTTAAAAAAAAAAATTTGCAATCTACCGAAGATTGTTATGCTATTATGCCACCGTTGGAGCAGTTTATGGAAATTCCCGGCGCAGAGAGGAGAGAGCTCTTTTTCCGGGATATCGAACGTGGCGACATAGTGATTGGAAGGATTAGTTCTATTCGTGAATTTGGCTTCTTCATGGTGCTGTTCAGCCTACGAAGCGGCGTTGTGCGAGACATAGCAGACTTAGAAATCACGGTAAGTCAGAGACGTTGCGTTCTGACCCAGCTTCCCAAACACGACAATCTGTCTCTCAAAGATTCCTTTATTAGGAGCCCCAGCAAAAAGTTTCTCTCTCACTGCAGGCTAACAAGTCCATCGAGCAGGGAGATGAATCGTTGTCTGCCACATCTATTCATTTCCGCCCCCGCCTTTTATCCCCAGAGCTAGGGTGGGGCTTCGATAGCAGAGGTGGGCTCTTCCGTCCTAAGGACCGGCCCACGGATTTCCATTGCTCTCCTCTCCTCTGTCTTCTGCGCATCCACGTGTCAGGCAGTGGACCCAGTTGTTCCTCTTTCTCATCAACCACCTCCAGACCTGGGAGCTGTTGACTCTCTATCCGAGGGCTGAAAAAAGGCCCAGGCCCCGCCTCTCTCTCTCTCTCTCTCTCTCTCTCTCTCTCTCTCTCTCTCTCTCTCTCCCCGCACTCCCTCTCTGACAGCTTCATTCCCTCTTCCCCCTCGGAGCTCTCAGGTTGCCCTGATACTGACTCAGACTCCCACACCTCCTCTGATTCAGCGGCTGGAGGGGCCAATGGCTAATCGGCCACAGCACAATGTGAAAGGAAATGTCACTTTCTGAAGGGTTTCTCTCTCCTTTGGCCTCTGGTGCAGCTGAATTGGCTGAGTTGATCCGAGGAAATTAAGGAAGCTCCCATTCAGAACCTTCATGTATTTTTTGCCTTGCAAGTTGACAAGTAGATTTTTTTTTTGCTCCATCAGCAAAAAATGTCCTTCCTTATACTCGAGGATTACGATAAAGTTACAAAATTCCTGATCTGAACTACGTAAGTGGTTTGGTTGCATTTCTGATCGAGTGTGACTTGGACAGTAATCCATATGGGACACAACCAGGACATGAGTAACTGAGAATAGGAGCTTCCTGATCAGGAAAGAATACACAACTAGACACAAAGATAATCCCCCCACACACACACAGTCTGCTAAACACTAACTCCCACAGCACTGTCTTATGCCTAAAGTTATTTACCCATGTAGTAGCCTATATTGCTACTACAATATAGGCTACTACATGGGTAAATAACTTTATCCTTCTCATCTTCTCATCTTTCATATCTCATCTGAGTGAGATGGCGCAACGGTGGCGCAGTGGTTAGAGTTTAGTACTGCAGGCTACTTCTGCTAACTGCTGGCTGACTGCAATTTGGCAGTTCAAATCTCACCAGGCTCATGGTTGACTCAGCCTTCCATCCTTCCGAGGTGCGTAAAATGAGGATCCAGATTGCTGGGGGCAATAGGCTGACTCTGTAAACCGCTCAGAGAGGGCTGTAAAGCACTGTGAAGCGGTATTAAGTCTAAATGCTAATGCTATCTTCCCCTACCACCTTCTTCTATTGGTATCTTACGATTTATCATTTGTTTGTATTTTGTGATTGCATCATACAGTTTCGGATCTACGACTTATCACTCTGTTGATTGTATGTACACTGAGAGCTTATGCACAAGTTCCTTGCCAATAAAGAATATACATTAGACTTGGTAAGAATAATCAGCTGTACTGCCTGTTGATTTAGTCCTCATCAGACTAGATCTGCCCTATGTAAAATAATAGTTTTATCTTGAATTCAATTTTTATATGGTGATTATCACACACGATAGGAGTACCCTCCTTCCAAGTTATCCACTCAGATTCTGGAATTACAAATCCAGCTTTTAAAACTTTAGAAGGCAACACTCCTGCGTAGATGTCCTGCAGATGTTCAGTATTTCTCTGTGAAATGGGACTGTCCATCCCTAATTTTTTGGAATTACGTGCTTTCTATTTTAGGCGCTTTGTCCGTTAAGAGATGTGCCTTCCCAAAGCAGCCACGGGGATCCCTTATCATATTATCAAAATGGTGACCTTATCCAAGGCAAGTGTCTTATCTTTGCTCTTAGATTTGGCCTTAAGTATATTTTGTGTTGTTTTCTGCTGTTTTAAGTCTGGTCTTTTTTTTTTTTCCCCCCTCCCATTTTTAATAGCTGCCATCAAGGATATTGATCGCTATCATGAAAAGCTCAGTGTATCCCTGCACAAGTCTGCTTTATCTCCCAGCTTAGCAAATACCAAATTAGGAGTCATCAGCTCTGAAGATTTGCCTGTGCATTACAGGTAGGAAATTGAAATGAGGCATACTTTTTGGGTGTGATTGAAAGGAAACCCTTTTGTTGTACACAGGTAGTCCTCGACTTAATGACCACAATTGAGCCTCAAATTTCCGTTGCTAAGCGAACCATTTGTTAAGTGAATTTTGTTGCCACATTTAAGTGAATCACTGCAGCTGTTGAGTTAGTAACATGTTTGTTAAGTGAGTCTGGCTTTGCTTGTCAGAAGGTCGCTAAAAGTAATCACATGACACAGCAACTGTCATCAATATGAGTCAGTTGCCAAGCATCCAAATTTTGATCACATGACCGTGGAGATGTTGCAGTAGTCATAAATGTGAAAAACTGTCATGCCCCTGATGGAGACTGACTCTGAGGGAGATGAGGAGCAGCCGACAGGGAGTGGAAGTGTGGCTCCGGAGGTTGTGGAGGAGGCTGGGGAAGGGCAGAGGCCGGCTGGGATCCAGGCCCATCCCCTCTCCATCCTAGAGCACGCAGGGAGGAGAGGATAAGGGAGAGACGTGGTCTCCTCAGGAGGAGAGGGCCTTGATCCTCTTAATGGGCTGCAGCTGTGACAACTGAATAAGAGGACGGACATGCGTACGGGCGAACACTGGAAACAAAGCATGGAAATATCTCTATTTTATGATTCCTCTGTGAGTTTGGCGTCCTTCCCAGTGTGTGCGCTGTTATCTGTGGACGTCCTCCAGCCCTTATCTTCCCTGGTTTGTGTTGTTTTTTCCCCTCCTTCTTGTAACTGCTTGTGTGGGAGTTTTTTGTCTTTCTTCCAGGTTATTTGGAGCTTGGAAGCAAAGTGAAGGAATAAAAGGGGCTTCACCTGGTTTTTGTGACTGTGTTTGTTTTGCACCCCACCCCCCGATCATCACAAAAACCTTCAGAAGTCACTTTTTCAGTGCTCTTGTAACTTTGGTCACTAAATGAACTGTTGTAAGTCGAGGACTACCTGTATCGAGCTTTTAAAAATATAAAATACAGTACTTTTATGGACAAGAATAAGAGATGCAGTTTCACAGCCCTGACTGCCTCAATTACATCAGAAGATTGATATAAAATTTGAGAGTACTGTAACATGCTTCAGAAAAGATCCTGGATTCACATGAAAATAATCTAGCATTGGGCATTCCAATTGGTCTACACGTTTTTAAGTTCATATTGTCACTCATGTACGAGCAATCTGTTTTCTAAGAAAAACAACATAGGGATCAATAAGTACCCAAGGGCACTAGTTGTTTTATATTTATTTATCATATGGAACGTTCACATCATATTTGTATTTCAATAAAAAGTAACACAGGTAAAATGCAAAACAGAATCTAAAATCTGAAATCTTTAACAGGAAGATTACAAACTTATACCTAAGTTGCAAATATAATTTTTTTTACTTCCTTTGTCACAGTTGGGAAATAAGTGAAATCTGCATTTTAGGCTCTGTTTTGACACTCTGAAACTCTGTGCTTGGATAGTTTTTCTATAAATTATTGGTTGTATTGGCTACTGTTGCTAATGAGTGCAGTATAAGTTACTCAGGTGCTAATTATACTGTTGGCCTTTTATACAAACAATATTAATTGTTACAGCCTCTCTCTCTCTGACAGCTCCATTCCCTCTTCCCCCTCGGAGCTCTCAGGTTGCCTTGGTGACCTGACTCCCCCGCCGCCTCCTCCTCCTCTGATCCAGCTTGTAGAGGGGCTGGCGGCCCACACACCACAACAGTTTTCCAAAATGGTCAATATCGACCTATAAGGACTGATGGGATTATGCAAGAGGTTGATGTGCTTTTGTCATGGTTCCGAGTAACGCTCCCAATTAGTTCAAGACCCTGAAGCTGTTGCTTTTTCAAAGATCTTAATTTATTGGGTACAACGTATCGGCACTCTGAATAGTTCCCACGCTTTGCCATAATTAAATGATAGGTACTGGCCACTCCCCTTGTGTCCCAGGTCACGTTAGCCAACCAAGCAGGTGATGAGCCTCTTTGTACTCTCCTCCTGCCATTGCTAGGATACGCTGGGTCAACTTCAACTCTCACGAGCCTTATCAGTGTTATGCCTGGCACTCTGAAATGAAATATTCTACATTCCACAAATCCCCCCCCAAAAAATCATAGCAACTGAGAAACAAAACAAGAAACTTTTATGGCTTCAATTAAAGTCGTTTCGATAGTTGACAATTTTCATATAATAAATGTTTGGTATATCAAGGAACATTGCAAAATTTCCTGAAGGGGGTCAGTGAACAGAAGAGTTTGGGACTGATCTAAAGAGGGGTGGACTTTATTACAAATCTTCTTAAGTGTATTTCTTCTTATGTTGGTAATACAAGATGGAACAGGGAAAATATTGTGTTATCTCAGTTCATGATTGTCTTTTTGTTCTTTTTTTAGGAGGAGTATTGACATAGCCAGTAGCTTGGAAACGTATGAAAAGGTTTTGCATAATTCTTTGGGCTTTGCCAATCCAGCTATAGTGGAGTTCCTAGGAAGCAAATTAGGACTAGATGAATCCAGCCCGCCCTCCTTAATGAGAGGACTACAAAGGTATACAAACAGCACCTTAACCAAAAAGTAATTCCTTCAATGATGAGTTTGTTAAAAATGACATTTCCATCATTTGGAAAAAAGAGTGCCAAAAAAATTTACCAGAGTGAATCACTATTTCAACTGTACTACAACACAAAGCAAGTTTTCATACCACTGAAAGTTTGAGCTTAATCTTATCAGGGGGAAACACCAAATGTAAGCTAAATTTGGCTGTTCGGTTAACAATCCTGACTGTAGAATTAGACAACTCCAGAGTATGGAGCTCATGTGGTAAGGATGCTGGCTTGGAGGTGAAGGAGCCTGTGTTTAAGACCCTCGTGCTGCCATGGGACTGGATGAGTTCCCATCCTCCTCTGCAGTTCCTGCCAGGGACATGAAAGGAGCCCCCAACTGGGCATCCATCAGGCAATAGTGATGTCACCAGCTAATCCTTGTTACCCGGAAGTGCCTTAATGCTTCTGACACAAGTGTGATGTGAGACAACTCCAGTAGATTAGTTATTTATTTGGACAGGCTATAAATAGACTAGTTGGTCAAAGATTTTGTTTATTTTTCCCCAGCAAAAATTTCAATGAAGAGGATTTTGCTGTTGCATTGAGGAAAAGACAGTCTGCTTCATGGGCCTTAAAATGGTACACACCGCTTTGTTTTCATTACAAGATAGAAGTTGGGGAAGAACCATTTTCTTCCAGGCCAATAAAAGCCCTGCCTGAATTTTGGAAGCCATATTAAAGGTTTATGTGATGCTAAGGGTGGTGTTACAGGTAGTCCTTGACTTACAATCCTTAGTTTGGTGACAGTGGCACTGAAAAAAAAAAAAGACTTATGACTGTTTTTCGCACTTACAATCATCGCAAGCATTCCCGGGGGTCAGAATTAGGATTCTTAGCAACCAACTCATTTATGATGACTACAGTGCCCTGGGATCATTTATGATCATCTTTTCAAACCTTTTGACAAGCAGCCGGATTCACTTAACAACTGTGGAAAGAAAGGTTGCAAAATGGGGCCAAACTCATTTAACTTTCTTGTTTAGCAGTGGAAATTTTGGGCTCAATTGGGTGGGGTCTTAAGTCAAGGACTACCTGTACTTTATTAGCAGTAACTTATTGTTCAGTCTTCCAACTGTAGGCTAATGATAAACACTAAATTTTAATTCCTCAGTGATACCCCTTGTGTTTTACTGTCTTTCTGAAGCTTAGATTTTGAATAGTTTTTTTTGGGGGGGGGGGGGGGGGGGGGCTGCAAGTCTGACAGAGAAAAAGCAGTTGCAAAATAAACTGTTGGCATTTGTTTTTATGTCGTGATTAATTAATTTGCATTCTTCATAAAGGAATTTGTTGGTTTATTGAAATCTTAATTCAACTAATTTTATTTTTAGTGTAAAAATCGGTGTTGATTATTTTAAAGAGGGCCGCCATGTTGATGCCATGAATGAATACAACAAGGCATTGGAAATAGATGCCCAAAATGTTGAAGCCTTAGTAGCCCGTGGAGCACTGTAAGTATCTGCTTTATGTCTGCAGTCCAATAATTTCACAAAGCAATTGAAAAATAGATATACTTACAGGTATTTTTGTTTCTCCTAGCTATGCAACAAAGGGAAGCTTGAATAAAGCAATTGAGGATTTTGAAATTGCTTTAGAGCAGTGCCCCACGCATAGAAATGCTAGAAAATACCTTTGTCAAACGCTTGTTGAACGAGGAGGCCAGTAAGTGTTGCCTTATGTTCTTTATGGTTTCTCCATTCCATTCATTTTACGTTTCTTTCCCTCGACTATGTTTTTATGCCTGGTTAAAGATAAAAACAACTTGGGTAGACCTGTGTGTAGCTAAATCAGGAGCACAGCTTGATGTGAAATCATCTGTTCACCTCCCGCTTATATCTGCTTGCTCGATTGACCCCCGTCTGTTTGTGCTTCAAAATAAAAACAGCTTTTTTTTATTAACAAGCCAGTTCAGTGTGGGCTGGTTTGCATGGCGATTAAGTGGAACTAGAAGTGGTTCCAAAATGTGCTCGTCGGTGTTTCCCTATCAAAATAGCATTGAGTGGATACCAAAAGAGCCTGGATCTTGTAGCCCTTCAGCAGTTTTATTCATGAAGGAGATAAGGAGGAATGTTAATCAGGTTTTGAGATGCAGCAAAGTTGATTAAGAACATAACTTTGCTGGGTCAGGCTGAAATCCACCTTAGTCTGGCTTTGTGTCTCTTTCAATTATCAACTACATGCCTGTAAGGCAGAGGTTGCCATCCTTTCGGACCTCAGGGACCACCAAACTCATAATTTTAAATCCCGCAGACCAGAGACCCTGGGAAAAATCCCCAAAAAGTCTGCAGAAAAATTCCCCACCCCATTTTCCTACCAATCAATCATTCTTTATTTGGGATCGCAGGATGCCATCTCCAGCTCCGTTCTCGGGGGGGAGGGGTGGGAGAGACTTTTGGCTTCATGCAAGGAAAGCAGCAGAAGGAGCAGAAGTCTTTCTTTCTCTCCCCCAAACTCCACCAGAAATGAGTCTTTGTGAGCCTCTTGGAGTGGGATGCCTTGCAGGGCCCCAAAGACTCATTTCTGGTGGAGTTTGGGGGAGAGAAAGACTTTTGCTGCTTTCCTTGTGTGCAGCCAAAAGCAGAAGAAGAAAGAAGCAGAAAGAAGCAGCCCCGTGGCCAAGTGAGGTGCCTGGGGCGAGTGGGGCAAGTTCCACCCCGCTCCCCTTTCGTCCTTCCCCTCACTACCTCGTGTTGTTCGCAATGCAAGTGACGCAGGCCTTGTGTTCCCACAGGCCATGTGGGCAGCACAGCCTTGTGTTCCCGCGCAGCCTGGATTCATTGCTTCGGGGGTGCTTTGGGATGTCATTTCTCTGCGGACCACCAAAAATTTTTCACAGACCACCGGTGGTCCCCAGCCCACCGGTTGGCAACCACTGCTGTAAAGTGCTTGTGGCAACTCATTCCTATGCTTGTTTTCGAATGCCTACTCCTGCTGTGGCTTTTTCCCAACTAAAATATCCTCAAACATTCAGACCTTTTTTTTTTTTGTAGTAGTGAAGGTGTTTGAGTTCCTTCTTTAGTTCCTTTCTTAATGGCACTGAATGGAACATGCATGCTTCATGGCGGCCAAACGTGTCTCTATTCCTCTTATCAACCATCTTATTAACCCCAAATCTTTTCCCTGGTTAGCTACTGACAGCTGGGATCCCTTCACATTAGTTTGGTAAAATGGCTTGTGAAAATGAATGTGGAATAGTGGTTGAGGAATGCAAATGCAGGTAGCCCTTGACGGATTAACAGTTCATTTAGTGGTCATTCAAAGTTACAACAGCATTGAAAAAAGTGACTCACGACCATTTTTCATACCTAAGACCGTTGGGGCATCCCCATGGTCACGTGATCAAAATACACATGACTTGGCAACTGGGGTGTATTTCTGACAGCATCCCGGAGTCATAAGATTTCCTTTTGCGACCTTCCGATCAGCCGTGTCAATGGGGAAGACACATTCGCTTAACAGCCCTGCAACTAACTTAAGAACTGCAGTGATTCATTTAATGATTGTGGCAAGAAAGGTTATAAAACAGGACAAAACTCAACAAACGCTCTTGCTTAGCGAGAAATTTTGGGCTCAATTGTGGTCATAATTCAAGGACTGCCTGCACCATATTGCAATACAGGTAGTCCTTTCCTTGCAGTCATTCATTTAGTGACTGTTCAAAAGTTACAATGCCACTGAACAAAAGTTACTTACAACCAGTCCCTGCACTTATGACCATTGTAGCATCCCTAGTGATCCAAATTTGGGTGCTTGGGAACTGACATGTTTACAACAGTCTGTTGAGAGCGTCAGTCATCCAGGTCATGGTTGTCCCAAAGGTACTTTTTCAGGAGGCAACTGGACTTTCTGGTTTTTCCTTTGAAGGTTTCGCTTCTCCTCCAAGAAGCTTCTTCAGCTCTGACAGGATGGTGGGGACTGGAAGGGTTTATATTCCTTGCAGACTGCTGGTCATCTGCATCCTTTTAGAGGGTCATGTTCCAAGTGCTTCAAAGACCCGCTAAAAAGAATGCAAATGACCATCTGTCTGCAAGGAATATAAATCCTTCCAGTCCCCATTATCCTGTCAGAGCTGAAGAAGCTTCTTGGATAAGAAGTGAAACCTCTTCAAAAGGAATATATATACAACAGCTGCAGAATCTCAGGGTGATGTGAAATCACGTTTGTGATTTTTTCCCAGCTCGCTTCCGACAAGCAAAAGCTGTGGCCAAAAAAAATTGGTAAAATTGGTTGCGATTCACTTAACAACCGCCTTGCTTAGCAATGGAAAGTCGGGTTCCAATTGTGGTCGTAAGCCGAGGACTAGCTGAACAGCTGTTTTGTTTTGCTTTTAAAGGGAGTTTGCAAATTTAAAATAAAGCAACCACAACCTTCCACCTTACAGGAGTAGATCCATCCTGTTCATAATCATGTTTATACTTATACCTGTTATCTAATACCTGCTTGACAGATAAAATAAATAAAATAAAATATTCTGCTTTGTCCATGTTGAGGTTTGAATTGTGTTCTGGGTCCCTCTCCGAAGAAAGGTTGAGTCAGGCTAAGAGAAGAGCATTCTTAATAATGTATTAAGTATAAAGCACTTCAGGTTCATGTGCGCTTAAAATCATTTGTCAGGTTGGAAGAGGAAGAAAAATTGTTGAACGCCGAGAGTTACTACAAGGCGGCTTTAAACATAGATGAAGGCTTTCAAGAAGCTGAAGAGGCCCTGTTGAAGCTCCGTCAACAGATACAGGTGATTCTTTACTTTCTGTTAGTTGACTGAAGTAAATCACCAACGTCATCCTCAAGAAACAAATTATTATGTGTTGGTCTTATTTTTTTTCTGGTCGGCAATCCCTTGAGCCCGAGGTAGCATTTTGTACTAGCCAAAGCTAAAAAAAAAAATTTTTTGTATCTCATATGGTTAGGGATGCCTGACTGGAAAAAGGCAAGCAGAATACACAGCAGAGGTGGTATTCAGCAGGTTCTGACCAGTTCTGGAGAACCAGTAGTGGAAACAGAACCGGAAAATACCACCTCTGACTGCAGATTTTACAGTATCCTTCCCACACCCACCAAACCATGCCCACAGAACCGGTAGTAAAAAAAAATTGAATCCCACCACTGATACACAGCCCTGAAGTATTTTAATCGTGGCTTATAATATGGTTTATAAAGATAGATGACCCTACAGTTAACTTTTGGCATACCTTCAAAATTTATTAACTAGGATTTTGTGGATCAGAGGGTGTTTTTTTGTTGTTAATTATTACTATAATTTGTTTTATTTTCTGTGAAGAGAGGTACATGTGAGAAGTGTAAGAGATAGAAGTCTTTTTATCCACAAACTTTTCCATTTAATGTGACAGGAAAAAGTAACGGGCGAACGGAAGTGTTTGAATTTTAAAAAAGGGGGGGGGGAATAAAATGCCCACATTTGCTCTGTTTTCCTTGGTGGGAGTCACTAGTTAAGAGTGTCCTTCTGACCCCCGCACGTACAAAGACCCGGCAGGGTGTCCTCCTGGTAATACTGATGATATGTTTCTCTCCAATGCATTTTCCTCCGAATTGGAACTCTGTTGCTGCTGTGCCTGGCCTCTCTGGTGCTGCTCATCACCAACAACCCCTGTGGAATATGATTCCGTGTGTAAACTGTGCATCAAACTGGGCTGTGATACCGTTGCCAAATGGTTTGTATTCATACATGGCCCTTTTCAATTCTGTTTTGATGGGAATCACATTTTACGTATAAATTCAATAATGGCATATTCCTTATTGATTTCTGTTCGGTTGATTCTTCTTTGTGACCAACTGTTTTGCTGGTCGCCATATTAACCTTCCATTCATACTTCCTGGATTGCTAATGTTGGGTTACGGGATACCAAATAACCTGTACTTTTTTCTCCTCTTCTCCTTGCCTGTTAAAATTTGGGCTACAAACTACAACATGAACCGTAATGCCATGCTCATTCATCCCTATCACTTAACCATCCTTTGTAATTATTATTATTTATTTTTTTTGCTTTAATATTTCTATTTTTTTTGCACATGGACCTTTGGGATTTCTGTAAATTTTGTATGTTGCGGGTTGGGATGGGACTTATTTGTTATAACTTGTTAACACCATATTTTTGATGTTGGGATTTAAAAAAGAAATCTCTGGAAATTAGAGAGAAACAAGCTGCAAAAGAGGAGAGGCAGAAAGAAAAGAAAGTAGAAACAAGTGCAGAAAAACTGCGTAAACTCTTAAAAGAAGAAAAAAGGTAACCTGTTTTAATCTACATAGTGTCTCGTACCTACCTTTGTGTCCATACAGCTTTTCTTACATAAACCCATAGAGCAATCTGATGGTGTAAGTATAACAATTCACAATTGATGCTGCTTTTTTTTGTAATGGGATTTCTTTCCCTCAATGTTTTTTTTTTCTTTATTTATAAAGAAGGTACTGCAAGCAATTTACTTTACAACAAAAGAGTAGTTCTAAGGCAATATTTTTCAAACTTGGCAACTTTTAAGATGTGTGGATTTCAACTCAGAAATAATATCAGAATTAATTTATTCTCTTTATATTTTGTACGTATGAGAGTATGATCTGTACTGAAGAGCAGAATGGGACAATTTGCCACAGCCAACGTGCTGTGGCCCACTTGCCAAAGGACATGGCCACCTCACCATTGGACAACTCACTGCAGGACAATTTAACAATTCTATTTAATTCATTCAAATAAACGAAAACTTACTGTATATACTCGAGTATAAGCCTAGTTTTTCAGCCCGTTTTTTGTGCTGAAAAAATCCCCCTCGGCTTATACTCGAGTCAGATTCCCCTCTGAAAAAAAAAATGGTGTGGAGTCGCGGCCTCCGGCGGCAGTGACTCCCAACAGCCCCAGCCGGGAAGGGAAAGGCAAAAAGCGCTTTGCCTTTCCCTTCCCGAGGCGGCGGGACTGGGGCCGCGCCGGCGGTAGTGACTCCTGACTCAGGGGGCCTCCGAGGGAGGGGAAGAGAGTGACTCCTGCCTCCCGCTGTCATCATCATCTTCTTCTTTTGGGTTAGTGAATCAATTAAACCTTTCATGATAGTGAGATCGTTTCCCAAATTAATTATTTTTATTTTTGAAATTTACCAGTAGCTGCTGCATTTCCCACCCTCGGCTTATACTCGAGTCAATAAGTTTTCCCAGTTTTTTTGTGTAAAATTAGGTGCCTCGGCTTATATTCGGGTTGACTTATACTCGAGTATATACGGTATTTTAATTTTTGCCATTTGCATTTCATTCTGTCCCTCCTTTTGTATCCACTTTAATGATTCTATTCCACCGTTTATTTGATATTAGTGTATCTCGTCCTGCAGTGAGCTGGCCATGGAAAGTTGGCCGTGGCGAGTTGGCTGTGGTGAATTGTATTTGCTCAATTGTCACAATTGTTCAATTGTGAGAATTGAACTGATGGCAAGCAGCCTGCAATACTGCATTCTAGCCACTGTGCCACCACGCTCTTATAAGTATTTATTGCTATTGTACTGAAGTTTTAGGCCAAGGGTCTTCAAATTTGGTAAGTTTAAGACTTGTGGACTTCAACTCCCAGAATTCCTGAGCTAGCATGACTGGAGGAGGAATTCTAGGAGTTGAAGTCCACAAGTCTTAAAGCTGTCAAGTTTGAAGACTCGTTTTAGGCTATCGTGGAAATTGTTGGGTTGCACACTGGCTAATGTACAGATAGTCCTCAGGATGCATCCATATTAGACATCTCTAGTATGTATGTATGTATGTATGTATGTATGTATGTGCAACATTATAGTGTAGTTCTGCTCTCTGATAGGAAATGTTGACCTTGTTAGATTCTGTGTAGTACTAATAATATGAAGTCTATGGTGCTTTCTGAGCTTGGTTGTTTAATTGCAAATGTTTCATTAGCTGACTAGATTACATCTTTAGTACTGGTGAGTGTGCAGTTTGCTCCCTGTTTATATATAGTAGCTTGCCTTGCCAGTGTTAGAAGTGTGGGTTTGGTGTTCCTTAATTTTCTGCTTGTTTGTTGTTAATCCCCGCTTATCTGGTTATTGACTGCTGGAGGGAATCTGTTCTGGCTTTTTGTTTTGTTTTCTTAGTAAGTTTTTTAATTGTCTGTTTTGAATGGTGTGTAAACATGATTTATTTCTATATGTATGTTGATAACTGATTTGTCTGAATGCTAAACTTCCAGGAAGCTGTACTTCTAAAGTACTTTTGAATTAAGTTTGGTCTAGGATGCTCATGGTAGCGGGGCAAGTTATTGTCTATAAACAGGGAGCAAACCCCACACTCAATAGCACTGATGATGTTACCTAGTGGGGTAATGAAATGTCTGTAAGCAATCAAACCCAGAGTGCACCAAGGACTCCACAGTTCAACCCTGAGCTATGTGTACTCTCTTCTACATGAAGTCTAGCGGTAGTGGTTGAGTTTTCAGGTATGCCTGCCTGAAAATCTTTTAAACTAAGTTGTATACTCGTTTAGTTGAAAGAAACCCATAATTTTTCCTTCTAGTCAAACTATATCCTCGTATTTTTCCTATTGATACCCAAACTTTTGTTAGCTCAGCAGCTGAAGCTTTCGCACATCCCCATTGTGAAATTAAATTGCAGTTCCTCATGATTAATTAAAACTTTTAGGTTGAAGAAGAAAAGAAAAAAGTCAACTTCCTCTTCCTCCTGTGATCCTTCATCAGATGATTCTGCCTCTTCCTCCTCCTCCTCTTCCTCCTCCTCCTCCGATAACAAAAAGCGTAAGAAAAGGAGTCGGAACCGGTCTGAATCTTCCTCCAGCTCTAAAAAACACACCTCTAGGATGTTTTCCCATCCTAGTAGGAAAGAGGACAGCTATTCTCCTCCTGCCAATACCTCTGCTTCTTTCCTTAACCAAAAGCACGAAGTGGAAAAATTGTTAGAGAGGCAAGGCAGGCTAGCTAATCAAAAACCCGAGGTAAGAGACAGAGAAGGGGATTGTGCGTTTTTAAAGATGTATGCCGAAGATGACCTCTGTGGAGGTAAGTTTGAAGATTCTAGGGATTCTCGCCATCACGCCAAGACTCGGGCAAATAGTAGCAAGACCGAAAGACAGAGTAGGTCAGACCGAGCCTCGTCCGATAGGAGGGATAGCACGGGCTCCTACTACAGACAATCTGATGACCGAAATAAGGCAAGTGACTCAGGAAGGCTGGAAAAAGAACTGGGCAGGAGGGAAGGTTATCACAAGTTCAGCCCAAGCCAAGCCAAGTACTCCACGTCCCCCACAGGGTCGGATTACTCCTCCAAATCCGTCGAACGTTACAAACAGTATACCAGCCGATGGATGAATGAACCTAGTAGGTACAACGCAGATGGTAGGGCTGAGGCGGCCCGGGGTAAATGTGGGAAAGAATCCAAGAACAGGGAAAAAGATGCTCCGGGGGCCAAAGGAGGAGATGAGGAAGCTTTGCTGAATGGTAAAGAACAATTAGGCAGCGGTGCTAAAAAACAGCTGCCTCAGAACTTACTCAATATATTTAATCAGATTGCTGAATTTGAAAGGGAAAAAGGAAGCAAGCAGAAAAATCAGAGTTGAAACATTAAAGTCAGGTATGAGAAAGTATCTGCTTTTAATTACTTGACAGGTCTATACTCTTTAAGGTTTTTTTTATTTAAATTTGCTTGTTAGATATTGATTTAAACTGCGGGTTGTCCAACCTTGGCAAGTTTTAAGACTTGTGGGCTTCAGCTATGCTGGCTGGGAATTCTGGGAGTTGAAGTCCACAAGTCTTAATGGTGGACAAGGTTGATAAATATGCAAGAGTTGTATTTTTTTTTCAATTGAGTTTCTTATGCTGTTAGGGTATTAAAGGTATGGTGGCACACCTGGCTGAACAATCTTTAAGGCTGTCACCTGTGCTATCAGGCATCGAAATTGCACTTTAAAACATTTCCCTCCCCCACAAGAAACAGATGACTGTTACTTTGTACTGTTAATAATATAACCATGTATTGATAAAATGAAAATACTTTAATGTATATCATCGATGTATATAGTCTGTCTTACTATTAAATTTTTTACAAAAATATCACTGCTTCCCAAATTTTAATTCAGAACTTAAAAAGGGGGGGGGGGACGTGATAATGGCAGTTACGCCTGGGGAAGCCTCTGCTAACGCTAAAGGCCAAAGGTTTTGTGTTCAAATGTGCGTATGTGTTGCTTCGTTCCTGTACATCTCATTTTTTTCCCAACGGGTATTCACTGATAGAACAGAAAAGACAAGGAGTCAAGTTGGCTTGGGTAAGAACCACCTCTAAAATGCCATGTGGAGTTACTACTGGCAACCTCTAAGGACAGGGCCATGGGCCAGATGCCCAGTTTAGGAAAGGGGAAGGGTAGGGGCTGGCAGGTGGGCGGGGCTTTGGCAACATTCACTCCATAAGACGCATAGACATTTCCACCCACTTTTGGTTGGGAAAAAAGTGCATCTTATAATGTGAGAAATATGGTATATTTTCTTGATTTGTTCTTCCCTTCATAAGATAAAACGCACATAGAGCTGGTGCTTATTGGCTCTTGGATAACACTGAAAGAGACTAGTGACCCTTTAGATGATTCCGGAGAAGTCCTAGCAGCAGCTGGGGATTGTGGGATTTGTAGTTTAGCAACAACTGAAATTTAGGAGTGCTCTGTCTAGTTCAAATTCAAGTGAGGACTGAAAAAGAGTTAAATAGACATTTCTAAATATGATAAACGAATTACGGAGGAGTGGTAAGATTGTGACTTTTTACAAAGATTGTTACCAATTTTTATTATTAAGGCTTAGGTTTTGCTATAAAAATAAAACTCAGTTCATCCTAAAACATTTATTCCAAGTGAAAGTAATTAATTCACTATCACATAAATTAATTTTAGTTGTGTAGTCGAACATGCTATAGCTTAGCAGATAACTCTGAATTCTTAAAAACTTTGAATGCAACAGAAAAAAAAACCTAATATGGGCTTTTGCTACGAGAGGATGTGGTAGCGCTACTCTGGCTAGAAGGACGAGAAGCAGGACCTGGAGGTTCAGGACTGGTGTCCAAAGTCAGAGATACAACTTTGGTATGTGGTTGACTGGAATGTGAGCTCTTAGAGGACCTAGAAAACAAGGAAACAATTACTCAAAAATCATGCAAGTGAAATACAAAATAAAACACCATGTTCTTATCACCATAAAGATTGCCTTGTCAAATAACATATTAATGGTAAGCTATTTTAAATTTATTCAATTGCCAATGAAACCTACTTTAGGCCCAAACTATCTCCATTTTTACAAAATGTAAGGGAATGTTTCTGAACTCTGACATTAAATTCTGTGGGGATAAAACCAGTCAATAAGTCTGGTAATTATTTCACTGTTTTCAACACATTTAGAGTTCAATGTGAATGCTAGTTCCTGGATTGTCTCTCTCTCCCCCCCCCCCCCCCTATTTTTAAAGATGGGGTTATTTCCATTCCTTCACTTTTCTAAGATACACTTTATCTGTTCTTGGAGATTTAAACTCATTTGCAATAGATAGAGAGAAACATGATCAGGAAGTAGCTATTTCAAGTTTCAACCTTTCCCTCATACTCTTCACCAGTGGCCCCCAACATTTTTTGTACCACGACCCGGTACAAAATGTACAAAATGATCCACGGACTGGTACCGGCATCAGCACGCACGACCAAGGCAAGGCGAGCCGAGCGATCGGCCAGCCAGCTGTCCCCCGCTTCTCCCTGCCACCTTCAACTCCTCCTTTGTACCTTCTTGTGGTCGATGGGCTTTTCGGGCTCTTTCTTAATCTCCTTCTGAGTAACACGAGACTCCACCGCCATCGGGACGGCTCTTTGTTTGAAGCCGCCCCACCCTTCGACGAAACTAAAGCGCGAGGATTCCTTCAGCACCCAAATGCCGCTTTCCAACCGACGACTGACAAGCTCACCCGGAAGCACTTTCTCAAGTGGCGTCGAAACAAGATGGCGGCGCCCAAGCAAAATAGGCAGCCCGGTACAAAATGATCCACGGACCGGTACCGGTCCGGGGCCTGGTGGTTGGGGACCCCTGCTCTTCACAATTATCTGACCTATTTGACCTAGTGTGGTTTCAGAAGGTTTTCTAGAAGCCCTGGCATATATTTTGGCCAAGATCCTCATTGCTGCTAGAAATAGGGCTGCTGCAATAGTCGTTAAGTGTGAAAACTGGTAATCAATCACTTTTTTCAATGTCATTGTAACATCAGTCACTAACAAATGGCTGTAAGTCGAGGACTACCTGTATAGTGAAATGTTCAATTTTTCTTAAAGGAACCCTCCTGCCTCCTGAGCTCTTTTATTTCTACAATATCACTCAGTCTTATCAGACTTCTGAAATCTGAATACTTGTAATGTCGAATGTAAATCTTTCTCCCTTTCCTCCCTTATTAAGAAACTGTAACTTACAACTGCTATATTCTCATGATGGGAATCATCCCAGCAGGTGCCATTTATTTCATATAAATTATATTTGCTTTGCAGCATTTACTGGCCAATTTAGAATTTGCATTCCACAGTTAACTCTCGATTGATGGACTTGACCCTATATTTCATTGTGGAACAAACAAGTCATGGGCAACCTCTTTATAACCCCCTGTCTCTAAGCACATTCATGGCTACGTTATTGGACTCAATGGTATCACTCACCCGATGGAAGCTGAGCCATGAAGACTTCGAACACTGAAGTGAGAAGCAGAAACTGTAGGAAGTTGTAAGGAAGCCTACCAACAAATAAACAGGTTTGATGAAGTCTGCTATAAATCTATAGGAATAAAAACACTACCTTTATTTTATGGTGCTAATTAAAATGGCTGCATATCTTAGCAAAGTACTGAGTTATTCGAGCTTCTCTGCTATTCTTATCTTCATTTCTACCGATTCTACTAAAGGTTGCTTCATCTTTGCTATGCTAAATTAAAATTAAAATGAATATGGTTTCATGTTGATCTGTTACCAATCAGAATTAGAGGCCTATCAGATATTGATGATAGGGCAAGCTTGCAATTATTGTAAAAGAGAATCTCTTTGCTTTGATAAATCAGCATTCCCCAATCTGATGCCCTATAAATATGTTGAGGTTACCTTCCTATCAAAGTGGTCCCTATTTTTCTACTTGCATTTTTACACGCTTTCGAACTACTAGGTTGGCAGAAGCTGGGACAAGTAACGGGAGCTCACTCTGTTACACGGTGCCAGAGATTCGAACCACCGACCTTTCTGATCGACAAGCTCAGTGTTGTAAACAGCTTAGAGAGGGATATAAAGCAATGTGAAGTGCTGTATAAGTCTAAGTGCTATTGCCATTGACTCAGCCTTCCATCCTTCCGAGATCGGTAAAATGAGGACCCAGATTGTTGGGGACAATATGCTGACTCTGTAAACTGCTTAGAGAGGGATGTAAAGCCCTGTGATGTGGCATATAAGTCTACTGTTAGAGACACTTATTAAAAATGATCCAGCGTGATATTTGCACACTGTTACTAAGGGAGCAGCATATGCATTTTTGCACGGAATTAAGATTGATTAAAACAACTAAAGTGATACCTGTCCAAAGTATTGTTGGAAGACTTTATGTAATTCTGGATGTGCTTCTGAAATATCAAGCAGCATTTTATCTACGTATTTGCTGAAGTCCTTCAGCGCACGAAGTTCAATGTCTTTTTCTTCTGGGATTTGTGACTGAGTGTCCCGTAGTGCTCGGATTTCTCGGGTTAATCGGGAAACCTTTTTAGACATGCAAAAAAAAAAAAAAAAGATTTAAAGCAGAATATTACCAGTTCACATTTATATTAAAATGTTTTATTTTAGCTACAACCAATCATGTTTACCCCAACTATGATTTTATTGAGTTCTAAATTAAACTGAATATATTATAGTAGTTTAAACTAACCTGTTTTGAGACTCTTTCTATTCTGGGCTTCTGATCATCTATTTCTCTGATTAATTTCAAAACATTTGCATGTTTATCTTTTTTTTTTTCCTGGAGAAGGAGCTCTTTTTTCACAAGAGTATCAAAATTATTTTGCATAGTCTAGAAAAACAAATGTATATATAACTCTCTTTAGAAATTTCTTTGAAACTATCCAATCAACAATCACTATAACATAAAATAAATATGAGTAAATATACACAATAGCTTGAATATGCATTATCACCTCTCTCTAAAAGATATAACCCAGAAACAAATAATAAAAACAACCTATTTTTATTATTTTTAGCTGAAACTAAAAAAATTGCTTTCTTCATATATCAACTTTGAAAAGTTCCTTTTCTTGGACTAGGTCAATAAAAGGGTCAGTTACCACAGTTTATTTAGTGACTGTTCGAAGTTATAGCAGCACTGAAAAAAGTGACTTATGACCATTTTCATACCGTTTCTCCAACAATATGGCCTCCCCCAATAGGAAGTTCCAGCATGTTTTATAGGCATGAAATGAAATTAAGCCCCTCCCCCAAATTAAGGCCTATATTAAAACATGCGAAATGGGGGGAATGGTGGGGGGGGCTTGCCGTTAGGAAGTACTTTTGTTGTACACCCGTATATGGTGCTGCCTGCGTTGACCCCAATATGAAGTGCCCCACCAACGCCGAGGTCAACATCCAAGCCATCGCTGCCCTCCCGAAGATGCAAGGGGGGGGAATTAAGTCACCCCCAAAAAGATGGCCTAGCCATTTTTTCGGGGCTCAAAAAAAAAATAAGACCCGGCCTTATTATATGAGAAACACGGTAGTTACAACCATGGCAGCATCCCCATAATCATATGATCAAAATTCAGGTGCTTGACAACTGACTCATATTTATGACGGTTGCAATGTTCTGGGATCACGTGATCCCCTTTTGCGACCTTCTGACAAGTCAATAGGGAAGCCAGAATCACTTAACAACCATGTTATTAACAACTGCAATGATTCACTTAACAACTGTGGCAAGAAAGGTCATAAATTGGAGACAAAACTCGCTTAACAAATGTCTCACTTAGCAACAGAAATTTTGGACCCCATTGTGGTAGTAAAATCAAG